GAAAAACGTTTTTCGCAAAACCAAGGGCATTTTTGCCTTCCCCCAGCCCTGCTGAGGGCCTGCAGTTTGCTCCTGGGGGCTCCTGGGGGGCCAGAGAGGACAAAAACTTTTTTTTCTCACTTACCTCTTTGAAATCTTGGTACGTCTTATACCCCCCGTTGCTTCTTACAGTATATACATTTTTTAAAAAACCAGAATGTGACATTCTCTGTTTACCGTTTCCCCCGGAAGAGGCTTCAACTGTCCATCCAGAGCCGCCATCTTTGCGTCCTGCAGTTCATTTTTCAGCGTCTGGACAGTGTTCAAGGCAGAGTCGATCTCCATGGGGCCACAGGCTTCGTGTGCCTAAGCGCAAGAGGGAGGAACAAGCCCATCCTCACAACTCTCCCACCACAAGCACAAAGCCCCTCCAAAAGGGGGGGGGGGAGAACGGATGGGGAAGGCATCTCGGGGGGGGGGGCCCTCCCGCGGCTTCTGCCCACCTTCTGAGAAGCCGTCCTCAGCTCCGCCAGGCTGGTGGCCAGATTCTTGGCACACTGGCTCAGCTGCATGGCCGCCGCCTGGTCACTCACAGTTGGGACCGCTGCTTTGGCTGAAGCCACCATTTTGCTCCCTGGCTGTGGGAAGAAAGACCGACCACACGTGGCCTTTGGTGGCCCCTCCTCTGTCTTGCAGAGCGGGGCCCCTCGCCAGCCCCTCCCTCCCTCCCACCCGCATACCTGGAGGAAACTTTGGCTGGAGTTGATCAAGGTGAGTTGGGCGCCCAGGTCCTCCGCCTGCGCTTGGCTCCCTCGCACTCCTTGGACCAGCTGCGGGATGTGGTCAGCCACGTTCTGCCCGGAGGAGCAAAAAGGAAGAAGGCCCGCTTGGCTCTCCAGCTGGACAGTCCAAGGCCGAGCACAACCGGACAATCGCTCCTATCACAGAGATGGCCCAACATGGGAGGGCCAGAAAGAGGGGCTGGGACACGTCTAGCCAGGTGAGGGTTGAGGGGCTGGTCGTTTAGCTCCAGTGCGGGGGGTTCAGAAGACGCTTCGCCTCCTCCACCCCTCTGAGACCCGTCCAGACGAGGCCGTGCGAAGGAGGCCTCGGAGGGCGGAAGGAGAGCAGCTCCATCCAGAACGGAGCAGCTTCCAACGCATGAGAATCCGGCTGTCCAGGAGGCCCCTTGGGATTGTCCAGGGAGCATTTTCTCGGGACTCCTCAAGTCAAACCTCGTCATGGACACGGCGGAGCTACGAGGCGGCTCCTCCTCTTCCCTGTCCGAGGGGGGCTCACCTTGCAGCTCTGGACCAGCTGCTGGTGGGCCGCGCTGTTCTTGTTCGAGATGGCGGCGTTCTGCGAGGCTGCGATGGTTTGAGTGGCGGCTGCAGCGGCCTGTTTTGCTGCCACCTGCAAGGAGGAGGTTCCGGAAATGCCTTGGAGGGGCAGGAGAGAAGGGGAGGGTCCCTGGCCAGCGGAGGAGAACTGGGGGGACGGGACACGGGCAGGACTTTGGAAGGCTGGCAGGATGGACTCCGTTCTGAAACCCTGGAAAGGAAATCCTTCCTTTCCCTTTATGAGCCCCCACTCATCCTGGAGATTGGCTCTCAGGGAAGCCCCCTCATCGGCTGGCCTTCTGCAGGGGGGGTTAGGCTGGTATGCAGCCTCCTTGCAAGGGGGCCCAAAAACTCCAGGCTGACCAGCCCGGTAAGACAGGCCTTCTCATCCCCCGTGGTGTCCGGTTGGTGGGGCAGAAAGCAGCTGCCTGAAACGCTGGGTCTGCGCTCAGGGCCGAGCTCTCAGCCAAGGAGGAAGAGGAGAAGGTCTCACCTCCAGTCGGTTCACAATCTTCTTCTTAATGGCGTTCTGGGCAGCTGCGTTGGTGGCCACACGGAGCCCTTCGGCCGCTTCCCGCAGCCTCTGCTGCTGGTCTTCGTTGTCGGGGTTGGCAGCAGCTCCCTGGGGGGGGGGGGAGACACCAATTGCCAAGAGGAAAGTTGGGAGGGGTCAGGCCCACCTCAGCCTTCGTGCTAAGGGGGGGGACTGACTTCACCCCGTCACCTCCCAAAATTAAGTACTAGCTGGCCACCCCCGATAGCCACCCCGGGGCTCCTGTGGTACCTTTGCAGCTTCTACCATCCGGGCTGTGGAATCGGCGAGAAGTTTGGCAGCCGCCAGGAGCTTCTTCGAGTTCTCCATGTCGATTTCTGCCTCGGCGTCTGAGCGCATGGCGTTCACCAGATCTGAAGTTGCTTGCGCTAACACCCTGGCCTGCCGCACCATTTCCCCTGCAACGGGATTAAAGGTTTTTTAATATCTCCGGGGCTCCAAATTGGAGGGTTCCCAACCAATGGCTCCCAGGGGTTGGCCTGGAGGGAAATACTCTGCGGAACATCCTGAGGTCTTCAAAGGGCCACAGGAACCAGCCCCCCCGCCATTTCTGGACCAGAGGCCTTCCTTTGCCTGCAGGAGGCAGCCGGTTCAGTTTCTGGCTCTACCAGGTGAGGAAGGGGCTCACCTGGCAGCCAACCCAGCTGGGTGACCAACAGGCTGAGTGGGCAGGTTTGCTGCTCCCGGACGGAGGGGCCGAGGGAGCCCAAAACTGCCAAGACGCTTACCGGCATCCCCCATGGAACTGAAGATGCTCTCGGTGACATACATGATGGTGTCGGTGGCCTGATCGTAGCGCCCGATGGGTTCTCCCCGGCTGGCAAACTGGCGGACGTGCTGCAGGAGGTCATTCAGGGCCTGGCTGACCACGCTGGCGGCCGCGCTGACTTGCTTGAGCAGTTCAGTGTCATCCGTGGCAGCCTGGCACGCCCGCACACAGTTCTCCACGGAGCGGTCCACCAGCTTCCCGGCTTCAATCAGCTGCTCCTGACACACCGGGGAGCTGATGGTGGGGCTGACCACCTGCAGCAAAGCACATCCGGGCAGGAGGGGTGAGCAGCCGGGCACAGGGCACCTGGTCTGTGAGGGCTTGTCTGGCCGCCGCAGCACGGCGGGGGCTCTTTCCACCTGACCACCAACTGACCAACAGCCCACTGATGTCTGTCCAGCTCTCCACAGCTGGGCAGTATCAAGGAAGCTGGACGCACCTTTGCACAAGCCACCAGCTGCGAGGTGGAGAGGGCGCACTGCGTGGCAGCCGCAATCACCCTGTTCTGCAGAACGGTGTCCTCGGCCACCTGAGCCACGTTCTTGGCCTTCAGCACCAACATGGCGGCGGCGTTGGCCACAGCTTTGGCCAGGCTCATCAAGACGTCCTGGAGAGGAGGAAGGAGGGAAAGGAGGAAGAGAGGCTCAGATCATGCCAGGGCCTCCTGGTAGGGAAACCAGCTGTGGGGGCCCAGGGGAGCTTCACCTGGAAGCGCTCGTCCGCCTCGTTCTCCCCGATCTGCCGGAGCAGCTCCCCGCTGGCTTGGCCGATGCTTCCGGCTGCGGTCAGAACAGTCTGGCGGGGCTGGAAGGACGGAAAGTAGGAAAGATGGCAGCTTTACTCGAGGAAGAGAAACTCTCCCAGCTGCTGCCCTTCCGCCAAAGCAAAGTCCTTCCCGTGGGCCATCCAGAAGACACAACGAGGACCAGGGGGCAACCGGGGCGACCCACTGCCCTTCTGCCCCATGGCCTCACCTCTCCCGATGTCGGTTCCACCGCTTTGAGTAGGTTTGAGACGGCCCCCGCCAGGGTCCGAGCGGCCTTCAGCAGGTCCTCCCCACTTCCGACCTCGTCGTCCATGAGAGCCGCCAACAGCTTGACCCCCTTGGACATCTCCGTGAGGTTGGAGGAGATGGTGGTGATGGCACAGCCCACCGCTGTGTAGTCTGTGTCGACCGGGTCCCCTGCCAAGCGGAGCAGACCAGGAGATGCCCAACGTCTACACGCATTGCAGAGGCCCACCCTTCAAAGACTTTGTGGGTCTGGTTGTGGGGTTTTTGTGGCCGTTTACTGTTCCAGAGCATCTTCTGCTTTGGCCCCAAGCACCCTCGGGCTTTATAGCAAGCCATGGGGTTATGCCCGAGTGCCCCACTGAGATGGGAAGGCTGACCAAAGTCAACTCAACAGGTGCCTCCTTCAGAACTCTGGAAAGATGCACGCTACACTCCCCAACTGCATAGGACCATTACAGAGCACGCGGCCCCCTTACCTGCTGTAAGGTTCACCACGGACGCTGTCCCTGCAGTGATGGCATCAACCTGAGAGTGTATTTCGTGTTTTGACTCGTCCACTTTGTTCTGGACCCAAACTCGGGAAGCCTGGAGAAAAAGGCAGACCACCCAAGCCAACTTAGAAGAAAGTGGGACATCTTTTTCTAACTTCTGGGTTGGCTAATCCTCGGACAACCTTCTCCAGCTTGGTGGCCATCGAGGATCCATTGCTAGGATCCTTAGCAGTTGCCAAGCGAGTGAAGGATTCTGGGGATTGAGTTCCACACATCTGGAGGTCAGCAGCTCAGGAAAGGCTTCACCAGGCAGGACTTGTCATTAGGGGTCCACTCTGGTTGCTAGGAAACCTCCTGGGCTCCCCCAGAAGGATGGCTCTGACCCCTCAAACAAGGGCAACCGTTTCACACAGTTTCCCTGGGCCAGGCCTGTTCCTCCTGGGGGGGAAGAAGAGCTATCAGACCTGGAGGGGCCGATTCACACATGGAGAACCAAGGAGGCTCAGAAAACGGCCAAGGGGGGGCTGTTATGTTCAGGGCATTTGGAGACCCAGAGGGGCTGCCGAGGGAGAGAAGTCCCAGGCCAGTCTTGGCTTTGGAGAGAGGGTCTTCCCCTTGCCCAACCCCCCCCACTCCCCCGGAGCCAACTGACCATGTCGTTGCCTAAAGGCGGGAGGTCATCGACGTGGGTGAGGTCTGCCTGGGTCTGCTGGACAGCCTGCATGCTGGTGGTGATGGTGCCCATCAGAGCCTGCTGGGCGGAGGTCTGGGGAAAGCCAACCAGGTTCAGCAGATCTTCTCCTGCAAGGGGGCGGGGGGGGGCCCTCTGCGACCAGGGACTAACCCCCCATTTGCTCAGAGGGGGGGGAGGGGAGGGGCTCACCAGAGGGGGCATGTGGGCCCGGTGCATCTGCCCCACCGTCACCTGCTGCTGTGGGGAGGGCATGCTGCCCATGTTGAAGGTCTCGGGGCCGGTGGAGCCGGAGCGCATGACGGCCGGAAGCGCCACGGAGCCATGCTCCACCTTCCCGGTGCGGTTGAACTGCTGCTGCAAGATGGTCGACCTGCCAAAGGAAGGGCAGAACCAGGCTGGGGGGGGGGAGCTCTTTGCCCTCCGTGATCGGGGCACAACCCCACACTTCCTCCCCATGACTGGGAACAGGGCAGTGCACCAGCTCCCATTCCACAAAAAGACACTCTTACACACATGCACACACACACATGCACACACACACCTATGCCTGATGAGCTGCTCCAGGGCCCCCAAAAGCTTGCACCCCCCCTTAGGGGCTTCCTATCTGACACGCCCCAATAAGGAGGCCCGTCTTTGAGAGGCGCAAACTGCAAAAAGGAAGGGAGNTTGTCGGCGCGCTTTTGACATCGCGGTTTTAGCCCCGCGGTGTTGTCGGCGCGCTTTTGACGTTCGCGGTTATGTCGTGCCACGATTACAGAGAGGGTTTTTGAGGTCTGGGAATCTTGACTTTGGAGAGGAAAAGTGGAGACAAAGATTAGAAGCCTCGAAGGGTTGAGAATGCATTGAAGGTAGTCCCATGGAGTTTCATCTCTACTAAACACCTGCCATGGAAGCTGTGGAGGATTACAAAATACCCATTTGTCTAAGTAAAGTGATGAGATTGCTTCTTGCTACCTTTTTAGCATCTTTGGATGCTTCATGGAGGCAACCAGGGAGGAGAAAGCAATGTCTCTCCCACCCATGCTTCAAATTGCTCCCTGTTGTGACTATGCAAGGAGGCAACCAGGGGAGGAGAAAGAGATGTCTCCCCCACCCATGCCTCAAATTGCTCCCTGTTGTGGCTATGCAAAGTATTCAAAGCAAGGCTCTACAAAATGCCCTTCCTCAAAGGGTTGAGGCAGCCATTTCCTCTGGCAGATTCAGCATAGCTGCTTCAATGGTCTTTTCCTAGGTTCTCTGCACATCTGATGCACAGACAGCATTTTTCCCTCTGACTGCCAGCAAAACAAAGCAGCTGTTCATTCCCCCACAGCGGCAACAACCTCGAAAATCCTCAAAGCAGCATCACAGTGATTGCCTCAACAGATCGAGGAGGGTTTTCATTGCAACAACAAGCATTGTGAATGCTTTGCATAGCGCTACTTCCTACCACAAGCTCTTCGTCATGTTTGAAACACACTGACATAGCGGCCACCCTCTTCTTCTTCTACTACTACTTTTTAATTAAGGTTTCTATGTGTGGTTTCTAAGAGGAACTATCACCATAATGTCACACAAAGATCTGGTAGGTGTTACTTTCCCATGTTGTATATTATTCTTTCCCTGACACGCCAAACAGCCCAAGCTTTCTGTGAGTGTTCATTTGTGGTCTCCATTCCTATTAAGAAGAGGTGTATTTCTTCCCCACACTAACTTTCTTTGAGGCCACTGAATACCCTCAACTATCTGTCTTACGCCTTCAGAAACAGTTATAGACAATCCTGACTAAGATGTGTGAGAAACTTTCTCTGGGTATCTTTACCCCAGTGGTGGGTTTCAAAAATTGTTCGAACCTACTCTGTGGGTGTGGCCTCCTTTGTGGGAGTGGCTTGCCGCCCATGTGACCNATATTTCATTTTTCTGGGAGAGGGCTGGATGATAACTACCCACAAAGGGAAATGGCGATATGGAAAAACTGTTCTCAGGATGCCTAAACTTTATGCAACTGGAAATCAGATAGTTTTAAAGTGTATTGTTGTTATTTTACTATAGATAGCGTCTGTAGAGTTTCTGCCAATTCTCCATCCCAAGCGAATAGGGATGGGAACCAGCAAGCAAATAATTATTGTTGCTGCTGTTTGCCAGCAAATCACTTGCTTGGGTGATTGGTTTTTTTTTTAACCTCTTCTCAGAAAAACCCCCGACTCTGGAGTTTCCCCTGTTGGAAAAACTCTTGGCAGGCACCTCGTGACATTTTACTAATATTGCCGAAAGCGTCAGCAGATAGGAAGCAGATGTAGCAAGCGTAGTGCTTTAAATGCTATCCGATGACTCGGACGAGAATCGTCTTCTTTCTCAAACCCTGGAAAGCCTTGGACGGAATCTTAAATGTGCCTTTGCTTCCAGTTCCAATAGATGTGAGAAGAAATTCCCATGCTCGCTTTTTAAAAAACTTTTACAGACTTTTAACTGTGGGGGTCAGGAAAAGACTTGCTTTTAAAGGCCTTTCGCAGGAGGTGAAGACATTTCTGCGATCTATTATAGGGGGAGGACGGGTAGATTTGATCAGAACTTCAAGAGTCCAGTGAAATGCACGGGGAGAAGTTTTCGGGAAGTCCGAAATCAACAGGACCGAATCCTCCCCCCCTACCGTCCTGTGCTGGGATGATACCCGTGGTGGATTCTCTTCTCCCTTGAAATGTGTTTTCTATTCTGTGTACGGCATACATGGAAGGACCTCCCCCCCCCCCAGGTCTAATCCAGAGGTAGTCAACCTTTTTACACCTAGGCAAGGCGTTTCATTTTCCATTTTACTATCACAGGCAATCCTAGGGAAATTGTCTTGAATGTTATCATTCCAACATCATTAAACAGATATGGGGACAATATATCTATATCTATATCTCTCTATCATCTATCTATCTAATCTATATCTATATATCTATATCAGCTATATCTATATCTCTCTATCTCTATCTCTGTATCATCTATCTATCTATCTATCTATCTATCTTATCTATCTATCTAATCTATATATCTATATCTATATCAGCTATATCTCTATCTCTATCTATCTATCTATCTCTATCTCTCTATCATCTATCTATCTATCTATCTCTATCTATCTAATCTATATCTATATATCTATATCAGCTATATCTATATCTCTCTATCTCTATCTCTGTATCATCTATCTATCTATCTATCTATCTATCTATCTATCTTATCTATATATCTATATCTATATCAGCTATATCTCTATCTCTATCTATCTATCTATCTCTATCTCTCTATCATCTATCTATCTATCTATCTCTATCTATCTAATCTATATCTATATATCTCTATCTATATCAGCTATTTCTATCTATCTCTCTATCATCTATCTATCTATCTATCTATCTATCTATCTATCTATCTATCTAT